ATTCATCTGCCCCCACTCCATTTCAAGAATTGTCCTAACACTCTCTTAGGCTAAGATAAAGATTCTGAATTTCCAATACTAAATCAAAAAAGAAAGTCTATGATCTAATCACTGCTCTGCAGGAGTTTCCATGAAATAAACTGGTTCAGATATGAGCCTCCAAATTTCTTTTTATAGTGGCTGACTACCATATCAAACCTATAATTCCTCCCCTAGAAGAGCTCATATACTAGCAATGGAGCTAGAAATGTAAGTTAAATTATAAGCAGAGTGACAGTCTGATAAGTACAGTAACTATAAATGAAAGAATAATAGATAACAAGAAAACAACATCTGTTTTCAAGGATGCCAGCTGGAGGAATAACAAACAAGAAACAATGTTGTAAAATAAAATGATGTGTTCAACATGCATAGTTCCCAGTCTGTTGTTTTTTTAAAAAATCATTTGTTTATAATATCTTCCATTGGATAAAAAAATAAAATGATGCATTCAAGAAACTGAATGTATATGTGGAGTCTGGCAACGTGAGCCATCAGTGAGAGAAAGACGGGATATGAGGCTGGAGAAGCAGGCAAAAAATTCATCAAATTCATTTGCTTGGAGAGTCAAAGAATATTTTTAAGCAGGATAAAGCTATAAGCAATATGTATCTTATAAAGCTCACTCCCTTTGACAGAATTTTGGAGGTTGCTTTGGAGGGAAGCAAGACTGGAGGCAAGAAGACCAGCTAGGAAGTATTGCCATGATCCAGATACAAATGATGAAGATAGGACTGAGGGCAGACATGGTGGGAATAAAGAAAGGATAGATTTTACTTTCTTTTTTAAAGGCAAATTTATATAGCACTTATTATGTACCTGATAGTGTAGTAAGTGCTTCAATGTATTTATCCATTTAAGCCTCTAAACCAGCAGTCCCTAACCTTTTTGGTACCAAGGACTGATGCACCTATGAGAATCTAATGCCTGATGATCTGAGATGGAGCTGAGGTGGTGATGCTAGCTCTGGGGAGCTGCTGCAAATACAGATGAAGCTTCGCTTGCTCTCCTGCTGCTCACCTCCTGCCAGTTCCTAAAAGGTCACAGACAGAAACACGTCTGTGGGGGTTGGGGACCCCTGCTCTAAATAACCTTATAAAGTAGTTATACTATTGTCATTATTTTACAGGTATGAAAAATGAGGCACAGAGGAGATAACTTGCCCAAAATTGCAAAGTGAATAAGTTGTATAAACCAGGATTTGAACACAGGCAATCTGGTTCCAGAATCTGTACCTTTAATCGCTATATTATTTTACTTAAGCCAAACAAACAGAATGTTTACACTACTTAGATATGAGGAATAAGAAGGCGAATGATGGCTCTGGTCACTTACAAACATTTACTGACACCTACTACACAGCACATGTAAGGAACTGGGAAAACAAAGACTAACACAGACTCTTGGCTGTTCTGCCAGCCAGCCAGCCAGTCATGGTCAGAGCACAGGAAAGAGAAGCAGAGTAGAGAGATGCTGCCACGCAAAAAGGCAAGATCAGACAGATGTGAACAACTTGCGTATTATGTTTACATTCTGATTTTTTTCCTGAAGGGACTCATTTAAGGATATTAAGCAGAATAGTTTCTCGTTATGTTCTTTTATTACTACCAAATAAGTTATCATCAAATTTAAAACAAAATTTCTTTGACTATAACAAAAGAAATAATAGTCCTATATACTATCGATATTCTCTTTCCACTTCTTGATGGATCATACCTTCCTGTCTTTCACCAAAACTGGAAAGAAAACCACTTGTGGGCTCTTTTATAGCCTTGGACCATTTCTTAACCTTCAGTTCTCTCATTTGTATAATAACAGAGTTATGCTCAAAAAGTCTACCATTTCAAAACAACACGACATACAATCATCATGTTTACTCACTGCCATTATTTGGTCCACCATAGATAAATATAAGCTAATTAGAAGCTAACTTTTAAATCTGACTTCCCTTTGTTGCTCCTTGACCAATC